CGCACGACCGGAAGGAGCGGAAGCGGTCGACTGTGGCATAATAAAAGCTCCGCTGCTTTCGAGCCGTGCGTCATGCTTATTCAGCGGCCTCATTTCGCTTCAACGGCTTTTAACCTCACCATGCTTCATTCTACTACATTAATAAATCATTAGCTCATCCATGAACATGATTTCTGCTTTTTTTTTTCTTTCATGATTTCAAAGTCCCGTCGGATCGCATCGGCTGTGGGGGGTCCTATTATGCTCTTTTACAAAGTCTTGATTTTGTTTTGGAGGTGTACTAGAACAGACTCTTATAGTAGGTTGTTCGAAAAACACATTATTTTTCACTGCAGATCTTTTTTATGCTCAAACAGCAACATTACAGACTAACTAAAGTTGAAAAAGTGAAAAAGCATAATAGGACCCCTTTAAGTTCCTCCTTGTGTACTCTTCATTTGTCTGGTATTGTTTGTGTAAACCACACTGTTTCACCTGCTTGTAGATCTACCTGTATATGTTGGATTTAATAAAGACTTCTGTTACTGTGACTCTTCCTCGTCTTCATCTGACCTGAAGCGTGACAAGAGGATCCATTGGTGCGCAAATGATGGAATGCTACACTGCCATCCAAAGGCAAAGCGCAGTAACTACACATTTGGTCAAAATTGAGTTTGAGGCCTAAAATCGGCTCTGTGACATCTGTTCTGTCTTATGACAAAGTCTCCTAGTTCAATTTTGTCCCGTTTCAGAGAAATGAAAGTGTCAAAATTGCAGTAACTACAAAATCCAAGCTAATACCAAGGCAAACTGCAGTAAATGATGTTACTGTGTTCTAGCTTTGTTTTTCTGGCTTTGACACTGCAGATACTGCGGTCTGCCTTGGTAGCCGTAACACTCACACAGAAAGTTAGCTGGCTCCGGTAAAGTTATATTGTAAGGCAAAGTTAGCTAAAAGTTAGCTGCGCCTCCTCAGCAAAGTGACAACTGGACAAGAACACCCGGCAGCACCAGAAGCAGCTTTGAAACCGCTTAAGATGTCAGTTTTACATCCAATCTAAATCATAAACATCTTAAAGACATCTTCTAAACGTCTCTTTGACATCTGATAGGAAACATCCTATAGACGTATTGCAGATGTAAATGCAGACGTCAAATAGACATCTCCGTGATGTAGGCTACATGTGCTATCAGGGTTACTACTGAGCAATTTTAACATTCACAACATGCAAACATCAATAAAACTATTAGTTATTAAAAACAATCATCATGTAGTAAGAAACACAACAAGAAAGTTGGATGAACACATTTAGTTTGTAGATATTGTTTTTGCAATAGTGTTTAAGGTCATCCAAAGGCAGAGTGCAGTATCTGCATTTTGGTGGTCAAAGGTCACTTCTTCTTCTTCTTGTGTGATGTGCGGCAGCTTAGACGCTTCAAAGGCGTATTGCTGCCCTCCTCAGTTCATCTAAAGAACTCCATCTCATAGATTAAATCCTCAAATAAAGACCAGTGTGGAGTAAAAAACTTATAACAACCTTTGTTGCTTCATATTCCTTATTTTCAAGAATCGATTTTAAAGATAAAGATGAGACTCCGGATTCCAGCAGATCAGAAAACATGCGGGTTCTTGCAGCACGAAGAACTTCACACTCCATTACTACATGCTTCACGGTTTCTGGTCAAAGGTCACATCAGTGGTCATGGTTTTTATCTATAAAAAATTATTCCTAAAAAGGAATTATGTGAATGCATTACCACTAATTTACCCACAACATGTTCGACTGGCTGGTGTAAAAACTTTAAAGGAATTTTTCTCAGTTTCAGTTCTCCAAATGTCACCCTGGAGCACAAAAGCAGTCTTAAGTCGCTGGGGTATGTTTGCAGCAATAGCCAAAAATACATTGTATGGGTCAAAATTATAGATTTTTAATTTTATGCCAAAAATCATTAGGATATTAAGTAAAGATCATGTTCCATGAAGATATTTTGTAAATTTCCTACTGTAAATATATTAAAACTTAATTTTTAATTAGTAATATGCATTGCTAAGAACTTCATTTGGACAACTTTAAAGGCGATTTTCTCAGTATTTTGATTTTTTTTGCACCCTCAGATTCCAGATTTTCAAATAGTTGTATCTCTGCCAAATATTGTATCCTATCCTAATAAACCATACATCAATGGAAAGCTTATTTATTCAGCTTTCAGATGATGCATAAATCTCAAATCTGAAAAATTGACCCTTATGACTGGTTTTGTGGTCCAGGGTCACAAATCTGATAACAAAATCAAAACTTTTAAAAACTTTTTTTTTCCATGTACTGCAGCTGTTTACAGTGTTATATTTGTTAAAGATGACGTTTAATCAGAGCTTTTTAACTCGTGTCTTTACATTCATGATCATAGTATGTTGTAAATGAAGCAGAATAAGCTTATCGATACCTGTGACAGACTAGACTCTCCACAGCCGGATCTGCTGCACTCTGACCCGCTCTGTGTTCACTTCATAGCAGCGGGATCATGGAGGACAGAGGAGCTCAGTGTTCCTGGGACATGTAGTTCATTATGGAGTTCATCGTGTAGTTCATTTAGTTTATCCTACTTCATGTGGAATAAACGGACAGAAAAGCGACAAACATAAACTCAGTCGCGCGGGGCTTATTGAATCGTAATTGGTCTAAATAATTATGCTATTTTTAATTTGCCTTGTGCGTTTACAATTGAATCATTGTTAAAGTCATCGGTGTCATTTTTAGTTGCTGAGGCAAAACGTAGACGGCGCTGTCACGTGATACCCATTACTTTTCACAGCGCTGTTAGGAAGAGCCAATCACAGCCGTTTGTGATTACAAGAGAGGATTACATTTTCTATATATTGCTTGGATGACATACAAAACATACATTTGGTAAGCGCAAACGTTCATTTAAAGGGGTCCTATTATGCTTTTTCACTAAAAATAATGCGTTTTTCGAACCACCAAGCATGAGAGCATGTTCTAGTACACCCCCAAAACAAAATCAAGACTTTGTAAAAGAGCATAATAGGACCCCTTTAACACACTGATATTGTAGCATCATATGGGGTAAGTTGTCACAATGGGAAACTGGGGCCCATTGCATGAATTGTTCAGACTAGCAGTCTTAAAAAGTTAGCCATCTGATTTTTGTTTTTTCTTCAAGACTTGTCATAACTTTTTAAAGTCAGTTACAAAAAGGTTGATCTCATTTGGATCCAGAAAGTAAGAATGATTACCCTTTGGCTAAATGCTAGCTGGTCAAACTAGTTCTTAAGATACAGATTTAAGTGGCTATGTTTATGCAACTGGCCCCTGGCATGAAGTAGCCCTAAACAGTAAACCAATTATGAATCACAAACTATTCTTGAAACAATACCTCGTAAAAGGTAACATACAAAATATCAAAAAAGTGTAATGACCGAATTTTATTAGATTATAAATGGCATAGTCTGTAATACTGCAACAATGAAGAGTTTATGAAGTTCAGACAGATGACAGCTATAGGCCTTTCTGCTGGATTTGGGGTTTTGGGCTCTTGTGATTTATTGGTGAAAATCTGAACCAACATGAGAAGAAACTCATATCTGCCTATTGGTTGCAGTGATTTGTGAATCTAAGTATGTGTTTAAAATATCTGACACATAAAACAGTGATGAACCACACACCAGTGTCCGGTTTTCCTGAAGTGTTGATGAATATTATCTGAGAGTCATATGAAGATCATCAGCTGATGGAAATGTCTTTATTTCAGCATAACCTTTGGACATTTATTCCACACAGAAGCTTTTTTTCTCAGCGGTTTAATCATAATCTGTCTTTGTATAATCTTATTGTGCACTGATAGGTTTAAAGTCTGATGTAACAAACCCTTATTGAGCACAAATGCGGTGAAACCAGCCAGTCGAAGCCAAACACGGCATTTCTGCAGAGTCTTCTGAACCGGATCTGAAGAAACACTAACGGTGAGATTCAAAGTCTGCCCTCAAACTTTAGTTTATGTCGGATAAAAATCGGAGGTTTTCATTCAGTGCTGAATTTGTGTGGAGTTTGATTGCTGATGACTGGAATAAAATCAGGCTTGAGCATCAAATCATTGACGCTTCCTTACATGTGATGAAGATGACATGGTTTGATGTCAGTGTGTAATCAGCTGTGATTGACCGACGATGCTGACGTGTGTCTGCAGCTGCTGATGGCTTTCAGTGGGAAATATCAGCTGGAGTCACACGAGAACTTCGAGGCGTTCATGAAGGCCATTGGTAAGAGAAAACGCATGGAACACACTACTGTCATCTGAGCGTTTGCTTGTGATTGTGAGTGTAACATATTAACACTATTTAAGACATCATCTGTTTCATGAGTTTTCTCGTGTGTTTTCTGCTGCAGGGTTGCCAGATGATGAGATTGAGAAAGGCAAAGACATCAAGAGCATCTCAGAGATCCATCAGGATGGAAACGACTTCAAAGTGACGGTGACGGCGGGAACTAAAGTCGTCCTGTACTCGTTTACTGTGGGTGAAGAGTGTGAACTGGAGACCTTCACTGGAGAAAAAGCGCAAGTAAGATCAGTCCACTATAATTCACGTTCTCAAAAACAGTATCGAAACAAATCACAGAATCAAAAGAAAAAAGATTGATATGTGCTGCCTAACATTTTTTTGAGGAAACCACAATGCGTTTTTTTTTTCTTCAGGGTTCTTTTGTAACATAAATATTTAATGTTTCCATGCTGAATGAATGAATGAGCTTTCATTAAAAACATCTCTCCCTCTCTCTCTTTGTATATCGGGATTATTATAGCTACTAAGTAATTAATATATTGTAGTTAACTAAAACTAAAACCATAAAAAACATTACATTTTATTACTTAAAATAATTTCAACTGAAATAAACTTATTTGATTTCAGTTCGTTTTATTTCATCTAGTTTCTCATTTTCATTTAGTGTAATTTGATGTACTAAAATAATTAAAATTAAAACGGAAATATAAAATATAAAAACTATACAGACATATATTTTTTTAAACTAATACAAAAGCACACAAAAATGCTAAAAAATGTAACTAAAACTAAAAACTAGTTCAAAATAGTTTTTAAGGACATTCCTACCAATTTCTCATTACTGTAAAGGGAAAACAACTAGCCCGATTACTCTATTATAGTATATTATAAACAAACATATTTTAAAGGTCACATATTTTACACCTTTCTGGAGTTAGTTCTGACGTCAACTTTTTATGGAAGTCACAACGGTTTGTGAAAAATCACAGCTACTTTATGCAGGCTGTGTGCATTTTACTGTGGACTGACTGTTTTGAAACTTATATGGTAGTTAAATAGCCCCTAGACCTCAGTTATTGTGAAAAAAGCCAGGAAATTTCAGTTTTTACAATATGGGACCTTTAAGACAATCATTCTGTACAGTTATTTATTTATTTATTGGCATAATGTTAATGAGAATTTAGGGGGGAAATGATGTCACAATGTTTAAATCTTAAAAGTTGCTTTAAATAAGCCTAATTTTCAATCAAAATATTTTTTTAAGTGTAATATGATCTGTCGGTCGTGAGATTGATGAGATATTAAAGCTGTCTGTCTGTGTGTGTGTGTGTGTGTGTGTCTCAGACTGTGGTTCACATGGACGGGAATAAGCTGATGGTGTGTGTGAAGGGGATCGAGTCTGTGACGGAGCTGAACGGAGACACCATCATTAATGTAAGACACATAATAATCATCATCATCATCTCTGCACACCACCTGACGCTCAATCCTGTCTGCTGTTGCGTGTCGTTTCAGATCCTCACCTTTGACGGCATCGTCTACAAGAGGATCAGCAGACGCATCTCCTGATCAGACGTAGGTGATGTTCTCATGCACATCTCAGCTACATTCAATCAAAACAGCACAAAACAGAGATCTGCTGAAAATGCCTTTAATACTCTGCAGATTCAGGCACGTTTGAGGAGCTTGTTTATGAAGTGGTTTTGATTTGTTCTCCAGCGAGCATCATGGGTTTGTCGCTGAGCACGGCCTCCCTCATGCTGCGATAGACCAGCTCGTTCTGCTTGAACAAACACAGCTCCATCTCCGTCTGCGTCCGCATCACCTGAAACACACATTCACATTCAATCATGATCAAAGAAACGCTCACAGACCCATTCTCATGTGCTTCTTCACATTAAACATCCAGCTTTTGTGATAGATTGGTGTGATAGATTCAGCTCAAGCTAAGGTAAGACACTGCAGGCAAAACCAGTGTGTTTTCATGCACTAGTCAGTTTTTAGTTTGTTTTGCTCTATATCATGTCTTTTCAGATTAGTGGAAAGAAAACATCCAAAATACACATTTAGGTGTTTGTTTTATTGCAGTTTATCTATTTGAGTCTGTAGATTTCAATTCCAATCCATGTCTTTAAATAGTTTTTTCTCTTACATACAGCAAACTATACAGTTTTATTCCTATCTATATTCTGTAGGTTTGTTCATAAATCATTCACACTGATTTATTCATGGTGAAAATGTATTTGTTTTCTGTCTGTCGACAGTATTTTTTTGATGGAGTGATTAAAAGAGAAATCCAAAATCCCCTCTGGAAAAACCTAGAATATGTCGACAAATCAAACAAGAATTTGGCTTTATCCAACGTCCAGATTTCTGTACTGGAAATTTATGCAAATTAAAGCAAATTTAATTAGATAATGCCTCATTTGCATAACACAACATATCAGAAAACCCATAATATAAAATGTCTTAATGGACTGTGATCAATCAACTGGGAAATTAGATTTCTATAAGTTTGACCTTTTCACCTGTGGTGTTCTGCCTCGAAAACAAAGTTTTCATTGGAATATCATATTCATAATTGTAAAATTGTAAACTGGGTTAAAATTATAACAACACTTTGCTTTTATTAAAATAAAAATAACATACTCTCACTGTCTAGATTTACTGAGTGCATTTTTCTGGTGTTTTTATTTCCAAATATGATATAAAATATGAAATAAAGTGACATGTGGCCAAGTATGGTGATCCATACTCGGTGCTCAAGGACACCTCAGTCGTGGTATTGAAGGTGGGAAAGAGCACTGTACATTCACTCCCCCCACCTACAATCCCTGCCGGTACGAGACTCGAACCCGCAACCTTTGGGTTACAAGTCCGACTCTCTAACCATTAGGCCACGACTTCCCCTAAAAAGGTACGCCCAACGTACCCTAAATATGATGCATTATTTTCTATGAGTGCACGTTAAGGTCTTCCGAAGTTATCTTAATCTATAGTAAGTAAACTAAATTAAACAGTCAGTACGTTTACATGGACAACAATACTCCGATTTTAATACGATTAAGACAATACTCTGATTAAGAATCTACCATGTAAACAGAGATTTTTGATTACCTTAATCCAGCTCCGTAGTGTAGGACTTTTCGCCACATTTTGCGACAGGATACACACACGGCAGTGCTCAACCGTTTGACGGCAAATAAAAGAGCTTCAAC